CACAGGGGTGGGGGTGGGAAGAACGGCTGCTGTTCAACAGGTGTAAAGTTTCAGTTATGCCAGATGAATACATTCTGGAGATATGCCCTACCACACTGTGGCTGTACTTAATGATACAGTATTGGACACTTCAAAATTTGTTAAAAGGGTAGATATCATGTTAAATAGTCTTGGTACCAAAAAAAAAAAAGTCAAAACTGCAACAATGTTAGGCCACCTTCTGAAAAAGGGCTGTAGAAGACATTTGGAACAAATTACATATCAGGTGAAATAAAAATGTATTATTGAAAACAATATATTTCCTTTTCCCAATCAGATGCAGAGTTTTGAAAAGGGATATTAATTTATTTTTTATATTTTTTTAAAGATTTTATTTATTTATTTATTTGAGCAAGAAAGCAAGTGAGCGTGAGCAGGGGCGGGGCTGGGGTGAGGTAGAGGGAGAGAGAGAAAATCTCAAGGAGACTCCACACTGGGAACTGAGTTGATCCAAGGCTCAGTCTCAGGAACCTGAGATGATGACCTGGGCCGAAACCAAGAGTAGGACACTTAACCAACTGAGCCATCCGGGTGCCCCAAAAAAGGGTATTATTTAAAAAACAAAAACAAAAACAACTACTACATATGGAGGGATTACTATGTAGCAGGCACTACGCTGAATTCCTTATACACGGTATTTTATTCAAACCTCACTGCGGTGCTATGAGATGAATGCCATTATTATCCCCATTTTACAGATGAAGGACTGAGACTTAGGGATGGGGAATAACTAAATGAAAGGGCTTACAATACTCACACCTTGAAAGGATGTCTTTCCAATTGCTCTTCTCCTACTCTCTCGTAAGCCCCATCTGAGAAAGTCTCTGTCCCCACCACTAAGTCAAGGGTGAGTTAGCAGGGCTCATCATACACCTGCCCCAGCAGTATTTGTGCAGTTAACAGTTCCCTTCTCCATACACTTTCCTGGCTGGGCTTTTAGGACACCACATGGTTCTGGGTTTCTTCCTCCCTTAGCAGACGCTCCTTCTAATCTCCTTTGCTGGCTCCTCTTCTTGCTATGATGATTCTCTTGGGCTCAGTCCTCGGGCTTCCTGTTTTCTCTGTACTCATGCCCTGGTGATCTCGTTCAGTCTCTTGCCTACAAAAACCATCCAGAGCCTGATGGTTTATATCTCCAACCTAGACCCTTCACCAGAATGTCAGACTCCTATTTCGGACTTCATACTTGAACTCTCCATGGGGACATCTAATAGACACCTCAAACTTACCATGTCCCAAATGGAACCTCTGAACTTTCTTCAAACTTGCTCTACCCACAGTTATCCAGTCTCCATGGACAAAGGATGGCAAATTCCATCCTTCTCAGTTGCAATGACTCGACACCTTGGAGTCAATGCCAACTCTTTTCTTGCTCTCATGTCCCACACACAGCCAGTCTGTCAGAAAGTCCTCTTTTCTCCATTTTCAAAATACACCCAGAATCTGATTTCTCACCACCTTCATTGCTTCCATCCTGTTTTGAGCCACCATCATTTGTCACTTAGTTACAAGAGCCACCTGACTGGCTTGCCTACTCTCTTTCTTGCCCCACTATAGTTTGCTCTCAACTGAGCTGCTGGAGTGATTCAATTAGATGATGAGTCCAAGAACAATTGTGGCAGTTCCAAATCTCCCAATGACCTCCATTTTTTATTGAGAATACAAGTTAAAATCCTGCAGTGGCTTGCAGGGATTACTGTCATCTGGCCTCTGTGACCTCTGACTTCACCTCTGCTTACTCTATATCTCATTTTCTCCTTCTTCTTTCCACTGGCTTCCTTCTGGTCCTCAAACACCCCCAGCATACTTCAGCTCGAAAGCCTTGACACTAGATGCTCTCTCTTGCAGGAAAGGGCTTCCCCCTTCAAACTATTCTGTCTTCTCAGTGAGGATTCTTTGACTATCCTAAGTAACATGGACTCTCCTCCCCAGATCCCTGCTAAGCAGTGCTTAGTTATTAACATAATCTCCTTCCGATATAGGTAATCTACTTACGTAAGTTTCTGTTAATGTTTGCCTCTCCTTGGCAAGATTTTAATTATCAATGGTTTCAAATACAGCTCTGTGACTAGAATAGACTCGACACATAGTAGATGACTAATAAATAATTGTTGAGTGAAAAAAAAGTGAGAGGGTCTCAAATCTTAATTTGTGGATCAGCTGATTCTCTGGGGATTACGTAATGAAATCAACTATCACTGGTCAGCATGGATAGTGACAAAACCCACAGAAAAAGGAAATTATCAAACTTGAGTTTTCAAGCATAATAAAATGTTTAGAAGAACCAAACTATGCTAGATGAGTAACCCAAGTTGTTAATGTAATGGTGTTGCTATGACTTCTCCTACCCTTGCTTCTTGGAGGCAGGTGTCCCCAGACACAAGTTTGCTCTCTGACACTGGCAGAACCCTGTCTGTAGTGTCTTGATTTTGCTCCCTACCTCATGAGATTGTGGAAGTTATTAATAAATACAGACAAGTTGTAACAGTACCTGCATATAATAAACTCTTAGTATTTGTTAGTTGCTATTATAATTATTGTTGTCGTATTTTATAGGGGGCTTTCCAAAGATATTACCTTAATTCAAAGAACTTTCTCTAGTGAATTAATTTTGCCTATCACAGTTAGCTGATGGAGATATTTTAGCAGTGGTATGAAATCACCCATTTGTCTTTTTAATCATCTAAGCTTAAGGTTTCTGCTTTACAGGTGGGGTAAGGGATGGAGTTGAACTGAAATCTGTTTATCCTTAAAGCTCATGCTCTTAACACTATGCCATTATGCAGAAATCAAGAAGAACACATTTCTTTTCTAAATGATGAATAAATGTCAGCAGAATGACACTATGAGAGAATTTTACTTACATGGAAATAAAAATGTACTTCCTAACTCTTTGGGTAATTGAAGATTGATGAATATACTTTCTGAAATAAATTTTAAGAAGTGGGAATTGATCAAGGTTCAGTGAAAATGAATACTGAGCTACAAAGAAATAAATAAGCACTGGTTGAATTAAGATACATGTTTCCCGCCAAAATAAATTATAATTGCTAATTATTTTGAGAGACTTGGTATATGTAAATAAAATAAATCTATGTACTCAGAGGTCTGGCATAAAAATATTTCTGTAAAACTTAAAAGTACTTTGAGCACTGAAGTGGTTTGCAGCATCAAGGGTAACCAATCCATCATTGACTTCTAATAAATACTTAGAAGGAAGAAATTTTGGAACATGATTTCTGGATAAAAGATCTGTGTGTATACATGTCTACATACATATACAACATATATTGATATATATTACTGTTTTTTTTAATAAAAGGTACCTAGAAATTTATTGATGAATTTAGTGGGGTTTTAACTAGAAAGATGAGGAAGATGGTTTCTTTCTCCTTTCCCTTCCTGCTTGAAACTACAAAGCATTAGGTTATATAAGAAGCCCAAACCAAAAGAGTTAGGGTCTCTACGGAACACCTGTAAGAAGAGATTGGAAAGTGTAATGTACCACCCGGCAGTCTGAGGACTGGGAGGCCGCAGCAACTGCAGATTTTTGTCTCTCTTGCTGAAGAGGTATCTTTGTAGTCTCTGGAGAAAGCTCAGGTAGCTGTTTGTGGCTTTCAGGATCATGTCCTGAAACAGGATTTATCTGAATGGAAAGAGATGCTGTGTGTATCTCAGGCACTGGGTTAGGGGGTGGTGAGCAAGGCCTTTTGAGAAATGAAGGGACTTCCACAGATTGGGAGAACTGTGGAGTATTAAAGTGGACACTGCTTCCTAGATCCTGGTTATGGATTAGTTTCAATGTAGAAATTCTTCGAGTCTGAGAATCTTGTGTGTAGTCTTCTTGTAGAAATGGAGTGCTGATACCAGCATTTGGTAGGGGACCAGTGCTGGCAGCTGTTGGTAGCGGGTTAGTGATTTTTTGTGTATACGACACAGTTGTGTTAGATTCTTCTGAATATACAATTGTCTGGTTGGAGTCATCATGAGAATACATAGTTCTCTCGAGGTTTTTTGTTAGTAGAGTACTTTGTACAGGAGGGAGTTTGTGTGTTAGTTACTAATTGGTCTAAAATGTCACACTTTTGGTGATTGGTTATCAAAGAGCTACAAGAGCTCTCTTTTCTGGGTGGTGGAAAGGGTGCCTGGGTTGCCAAAAAACATCCGGAGAGAGAAATAATGTTGAAGGAAAAACAGAGAGAAAGTCAAAGTTAGTCATTGTAGAAACTAGTGTCAACCTTAAAGAAAGTAAAGTAATGGCATACCTTCTTCTTATTCTACACATTTTATTGGCTAGATTAAATGATCATTTTCATTCGTTTAGAATGCATTTTAACTTATTATCAATAGTTGCCTTCTGGGAGAAAATAGTCTTTAGAGAGAATACATTAGGAAGTTTGTCTCCATCTATATTCTTGAAAATTATGTTAAAACTGAACACCTGTTCTCTTGGCATATTTTTAGACCTTGATGTATATGCATAGTTTTAGACTTTGAGGTATAGGTACTGTATATTTAGTGACATTGTTTCAATAACATTGTCCACCTTTGGGACACCATTTTGCTAGTATCTCCAACACAGTGTTCTTTTAGTTCATATAATAAACAGTTGCATGACTTATGTTTATTGAATAAATAACATATTGCTGACCTCATAACTTTGAAATCCAAACATCAGCTAACAGCTTTATAAAAATTAGAAAATATGGTTAACAGTATGTTAGAAAGCGATCTACTTTTATGAGCTGAATTAAAAATAAAAACCCACAAAACCTGTTTTGAAACTTAAAATATGTCTTCTATGTTGTAAATATAAGGTTGGCAAGGAGTACAAATACAAAACCAAAACATTAAAGATAAAATATGTATCCAAATATGCACCTGTTATTAGAGAAAAGGTCTAGGGCAGTCTAATAACCACGCTTTCACATAACACCATAGACAAGAGTGTGCAGGATTACCTGAGTTGGTGACTTTTTTTCTTGTAAGTTTGGTCGAACGCTTCTAAAACCTTTTGCTGCAAGAGAGGAATATGTAGCATCTCCGTTCAGTGTCTCTTGATTTCGATCATTGTAAGATCTCCAAGCTTTCATTAAGAGAAAACAAATTGGATACAAAAATATCTATGTTCACTTTTAACATTTTTTAGGGGGTAAAATTTATTTCTATTTCCAAAATTGAAGATTTCTTTTTAGAAATTAAATTTAGTTTAATAGACATAACCGTATATGCAATTGAAGTTTACTATGAGGTCAACAATGTGACTACAGATATGTTAAGAAAAACTCACAACAAATGTAATGATTATTCAGAGTAGCTTTTCTGTACCTGAGTCTGGTGACTGAGAATCACGCCCTAAAAGAAAAAGAAATGTTGACATTAACACTAGGGAAAAAGAAATGAATAATCCAGTAAAGACCATTTGGCAAAAAGCCACATCCACTTTTTTTTTTTTTTTTTTTTTTGGCAAACATTATCTCATTTCTGAGACTCAAAGTAACTCAAATGTACTAAATGGGAGGTTTGTGCATTTATTTTTATTTCCATGAAAGTATCATTCATTAGTAATTATGTAATTGACACATATGACAAGCACTGATTTCTTTCCTTCAATAATATTGCAACCATGTAATTCTATCTTATTTTTGCCCAAGCTGGATGTGTGAATTTTAAAATACCAAATTAAAGGATCAAAAGGAATCTAGTTTGTAAGCAGTGATGATTTTCTCCAAGCATTAAATCAACACCAGGTACCTAGCTTCTAGTGCTGCTCCTGTGTTACTGACCATACTCAACTCCTGTATTGGATAGCAATCGATTTTTTGTAGCTTGCAATTCATTTTTGTACTTTAAGAAAGTGTACTTGTTTCTACCATATTATGTGATATTTTCAAATCTTTCTCTACTTTAGACTTTGAATTTTCTCCTTATCCCCATTTTAAAGTCATTTTGTATTCAAATGTGAAAGAGTTATTACAGTATATTCCATTGTCTTGCAGTAAGCTGTGGAAAATGAGTTCCGGTATTAATAAATTGCTTTTGATAATACAGTTGGAAAGAGGCTCAATGACTGTCGGTTTTATTCAAATTATACATTCAAGAATCTTCCGTAACTTATGCACACTTGAGGTAATCCGTTGGCATTGTTTGGCTCTTTATTACCACATGGTCAACCTCACATAGAAATATAAAGCCTGACATTTAGAAAGGACCTTGAGGGGTCATCCAGCCTGATCTGTCCAATCCTGAACTCCTCCCGCAGGATCCCTGAGACCATGATTAAACTGCTGTATTTCAATGCCTAATAGAACAGGAATGTTACATGTGAAAGAACTCGTCCTTTTCTTTCTAATATTTTGAAATCTAAACACATGAATTTGGAGTGATAAAAATGAGTTGAGAAGTGAGTTTGATTTTTAGATTAAATATTTGATATTCTTTCCAAATCAAAGGAAGAAAAAGAAATGTGAATTAGCACAGAGTACATTACCATGTCTCCAGCTCAGGTGAGTTAGAGAACACTATTAAATCTTCATCCTTTATGATAATAGCTAATTTAACAAAATTTATCTCCAATGAATTCAAAATCAGAGTAATAAAATGGGTACTGCAAAGTAAAAAATAGCTTTCAAGAGTTATATGTGGAATGCTTACTGGACTCTAAGATTTAATGGAAGCAGAAGTGATGGAAATTCTCTATCACTTAAATAATGATGAGGACTTCATAAAGAAGACAAAAAGGGTAGCAATACAATCGTTAGAATTCTGCTTTGGAGCACCCAGGGAGAGCGATGTCCTGACCACCTGCACATCACATAGTGTTTGTGGACAAGGAACACGTTTTGGAACTTGAGGGAAAGGCACTGAAAAGAGAAGAAGCATGAATTATTGTTGTTTATATTATAATTATTTGCTTAAGAATAGGGAGTTTATTTCACTCTTAGTTTGATAAACTGAGCTCATAAAGAAGGGTGTGTGGGTATGTGCTGGGCACGGAAGGGGTACAGATGTGGTGTAGTGGGGGAAGGTATATTGACTGAGCAGATTTGAAGGACACTTGAAATAAACTCCCTTTAATTGACAGTTTGTAGAGGGGGCAGTTCTGTTTCTTCTTACTGGTGACCATACAGGAGATTATGAAAACTACAGTGGGGTAAACATTAAGTGTGAGACTCAGAGGACAGTCACTCTGAGCTCCACCAGAAACTTCTCTCTCCCCCTGTACTGGGCCCAGGAATTCCAAATGAAACTGTACCTCTGCTACAGGAAATATGAGATATTAAGAATGGTGATCTTTTAAAACTATACTCAAATTAAAAAATAATAACATAGGTGAACTCTACTGAGCCCTGATTAACATGGTAGACACAAGTGTGTAGAATTATGAGCAAGGAGAAGGGAAAAAAACAGCCATGGATGAAAACTTCAGAATGAATCTGTATTTTAATGAGTCTTAATGATTAAAGTCTACCTTTAAGTGGGTGGTCTCTTAAGGATACTCACATGTACAATGTTTGTGTTTTTAACATAAACCAGTTATATTCAATTTAACCAATACATTTATATATTTATATAATTTTTTTACATATATGAACATAATATATAAATATATATAACATATTTATATATTTAATATGCCCAATCCTGATTTGCTATTTTATTATAATTCTTCAGAGGCCCTGAAAGATAAATACCATCCCACATGAATACTATTCACCATAGGCTTGCTTTTATTTAATTTCTGCCAAGAAAGCTTAGGAAGGGAGGACAAGTGTGGCTTGGAGCAGGTGACAGAAAGCATCCTGGAACCATGTCAAGTAAAGAGAACATTGGTTCAAAATAAAACAAAACAGATCTAGCATGTAAACGATTTGGCAGATTCATGGTGAAAATGGTTTTGCCCAGTATCTTGTTCACTCGTGAAAATTCTAGGGATCAGAGGCTTTGATTTCTGGTATTCCTTATCTGATGGTCATTGCTTCTCTGAAAATTCAAGAATGAATAAATGGGACAGATTTATCATTCCCTGGCTATTTTGCATTAAAAACTATAAGCGGTCTTCACTGATACAATGAATGTACCCCATGTCCAGACAGAAGGTGGTGGACACTTGTCACAGAAGTTGGCAAAGTATTCCTGACTCAGTCTGGGGATGGGGCTGGAGGCCCTCAAAGGTCCTTTCTGATTTTATGATTCCAACATTATGATTTTTACGTAGCTGTGTTGGTGGTACCTGTTACACTGGAATCTTTACTCTGAGGTTTTATTTAAATTCCTCTTAACTGGTATGCTATATTACACATTATAAACTATACTTTTCTTGGAAATTATGATGATTTTAATGCTTATAGCTCCTTTCTTTAGAGAGCTCAAATGCTTTGCAAAAATTAATTAAACATATTAATTCAACTAATTGAATGCCTACTGTGTTTCCAAGTACTGGGATAAGACATTTTACTTATTTTCTTCATTTACTCTTATTGAATTATGACAAATCTTTGTGAGTTTGGGAAATGATTAAGTTCTCAGAGAGGTAGGAAAATGACAAATAATTCTTTTTTAAAGAAAGGAAACTTGAGGTACAAACAGATGACATTTCCCAAGGCCATGTATAAAACACATGGGTGGTGTTGGCCGGACTCAGTCACCATAGTGTACCACCAAATCAGTGTTATTTTAGACTGACAAGCGTTTTGGTAAAATAAAATGGTCACCATAGTCAGTGCTGTGGTTCTAGCTTAGGTTGAAAACATCAGGGTATGCTATGAATTGTCCATTGGGACTTTACTTCTAAAGGGTTGACCAAGACACACTGGTTTAAGGGATAAATAATTAATGACTCATCCTGACTTTGTGACCCGAGGGTGGATGGAGGGAAGCTGAGAATACTTTGTGGAGGTGGTCTTTTGCTTAAAGGCTGTTTTATTTTAATAATATCTGATGTAGTAAATATTTACTAATTCCCCTTTGATTCACAAAAAGACACTGTGTCAAATAAGTTCTTGTGAAGGCTACCACATACTATAAGAGACATAAAGAGGCAGAAAATATAATTTTCTTCAAAATGTAATTAAAACTTCCTTGCAAAGGGAATCATATCTCATGTGTCTAATTAATACAAAAGAGATCCATTTCTCATGTAACAAAAAACAAAGTTCAAGGGACTTCATTCTCTAGAGATCTTACTCTTAGTGATACAAAAGTTTAAATCGTCCAGAGCCATTACCTACTTTTACTACTGAAGATTATTTCATGTTCCTAAAGTATTAAATCTTTTCTGTTATTTTGATTCTGAAGCATTAAAATTTTTCCACTACGTTGAGTGAAATGAAATTGATATTCTAGTTTTGACTCTACAGAATGGCAATCTCTATTTCAATCTACTGTTATTTCTTTCGTGGTTACTTTTGTAAATCATAACAAGTTGGCATTGTTGAAATAGTGCCACGTTCCCAAACGGGACACGCAAAGGGGTCCACATCCGAGTAGCTTGGGACAGAATTTTACTTGGTTGAAATGTCAATGATATTTGTGGTTTGGCATTCCAGTTACCTGCTGGCCCTAGAATTCTATTTATTTATTTAATCTGTTTGTTTGTTTGTTTTCTTTTTCCTTCATTCCCATTTCCCTCAGGTATCCACATTTGGGTTTTTCTAACATTTTCCCATGGGCATACACACACGAGCAAACATATAGAGAGATTTTTCTTAACCAAAATGATATCATACTATACACATTGCAATGTAATTTGTTTTTTAAAATGCACTGTATTATGGAACCACCTGGACTGGTATTTAAACATCTGTGAACTGGAGGTGGTGGTGAGTAAGGGTGGGAATTCTACACATGAAAGCCTGTTTTTTTCCTCAACATGGCTGCCTGGGATCAGAGGGGCTCTAACCACGGACATCTTCAGTATTAACTACTAAATTTATGTGTGTAAAAGACACTGCTAGGCACAGTGTGGATTAAAATTATTTAAACACTATCTCTCTCCAACTTTTCCCAAACCCACAAATATTATAAAGAAAAAACAAGGAAACACCCACTAACCAACCAGCCAACCAACCAGTCACGAGAAGGTATGGCCCTTTTTCAGTTTGTGGGGGTTGCTGGGTTTACTTTGATCCTTCGTATCAGTAACCCCTCTCAGTGCAGACTGTACCCACCGCGTAAGTCATAAAGAGACACACCTCAGGGGAGGCGGAAAGGTCACACTCCCAACTACTTTCTGCAGATTTATCTATATCTGTGGGTAGCACTCCTCCTTACTGGACCAAGATGTTTAAAAATTTACATTAGAAGGGTCTTTGCAGATTGGATTAAAGGATGTTTTAAGGTCTTTTTCAAAACTAATATTTGATCCCATTTTTTTGTGTGACCCTTGGCGAAGAAATGAATTAGTAACAATTCACTTTCTTGCAAATCCCTTTTCCTGCCCATCCCCCCAACCCCGTGGATCCCCACCGCACCCCCCAGCAGTTTTTAGGTAAAAAATAACTAAAGCACCTGTGATTTATCTTAACTAAATATTCTATTACTTTAACTCATGAGAGAAAAAAAAAAACCACTTAAATAGTTATTAACACTTGTAGTTGTTCCTCAACACATTTTTGGCAGGTGACTGTTGTTTTTAATTAGTTTTTAAACAATTTTTAAAAATAAGATATCAGTTTCCTTTGGCTTTCTATTTTTAGAACAAAAACAGAAAGGATAGGAGCTATTCTTGAGACAAGAAAAATAAGAACTGGTCAGGCATTAGAAAGGTATTTACAGCCGCTTTCATCATCCCAAGGAGATAACTCTGGAAAGAGAGAAAGGTCAGATTAAGCCATTCGATGGTGACATTCTGTGAGTTAGTGATATTATACCTGCAGTCAATAGGTTTGGAGAACTCTGAACTCTCTTCACAGATGTTATTGTAACAGACATGGCAGCACGTTTGCGAGCACACCCACCGCTATCTGAAAGCAAAAAAATGACACAGCAGAGGCCACAGCAAAGGAGAAGCACATGCACGGTCATGCATTTCAAGTGGAAGGTGCCAGACATCCAGGAGGAAGACGGACAGTCAGGATTAGTAACCATGGAAGACATCTGAAAATTTCACACCCGCCCCAAACTAAAACAAACAGAATGGAGCAGAAAACCAGGGGTCTGTCTTACAAATAGACACTTGTATTTTATACTTAAGATGTTATAGGTTTTCTTTAATGAAAACACAAATATAGAACTCAGATTTGGTTATACCATTGAAATTCGTTTAATATTAAATTTATAAGTGGTGCGAGTAGCTTTTAGGGTTAGGGACAACCTGTCTTGACTCAGTGTTGCGAGCTATGGGGTAACATATTTTTTATCCATCATTTGGGTTTTACTGTATTTTAACTACTTATGATTCCTAAAGGTAGCTGAAATCACTTTTTTTAAAAAAAGATTTAATTTATTTATTTGAGAGAGAGAGGTCACAAGTAGGCAGAGAGGCTGGCAGAGAGAGGGAGAAGCAGGCTCCCTGCTGAGCAGAGAGCCCGATGCGGGGCTCGATCCCAGGACCCTGGGGATCATGACCTGAGCTGAAGGCAGAGGCTTAACCCACTGAGCCACGCAGGCGCCCCTGAAATCACTTCTTGAAGTAAAAGTTATTAACCTACACAGCATGGTATATTTGATATATAGGATTCATAAAGAAACATCTATTATTACAGAAATTCTCCATTTTCTCATAGTTATTATTGTTATGGAAATAATTAGCCTATTTGGAATCAAAGGTAATATTGATATATACAGTATCGAAAGGACCAATGTTTAAAAAATTATATTGTTTTTATACTTTGAAATACTATGTATGTAAGGATCTATATACTTAAACTTTATGCAAATCGCAATGTGAAATAAAATAAGTGAAAAGGCATCAGCTATGTCAATGTGATGTGAGAAGTTTAGTCTTCTAAAATTAGAAGGTTCATGTTCTATTTATGAACAGATTCCAATTTCATTCCCACATTCCTTTGTATATGGAATGTGCAATAAATAGTTTTGCTCATTCCCTCAGAATGAAAACAACTGAAATTGAATTCTTTTTGAAAGTCAGAACAAGAAAAACAAATAATAGAACCACCAATATGATAACATGATCATTATATATTGCCACGTGGTATTCTCATTTTGCCCCTTTTTCTTTATTTCTGAAAGGAAAGTAACCACTTTGTTTACTGGAAGTGAGGGAATTTAAGAGTGCATGGAGGTGCGATTTGAATTAATTATTGGTCAAATCACAAGCAGTAAGGTCAGTAGAACTTAAAACTGGTAGAGTGATTCTGGTATCAGAATATAATTTCTTAAATATGTGTTTAACAGTTTCCTAATGAGGACAATAACGAATACAGAAAAATGATTTGAAGCAACAGACGTGAAGTCAAATAAATCAAAGATCAAGCGCAGAAAGGCAGAAATGGTAGAAACATACAATACTAAAGATATCTTCATGAGAGGCACCAACAGGATTTTATCAAACTGCAAAAACAAAAAAAATAGCTACAAGGGAGGAGTGTTGCAGATAAAGGTGATGTCAGTAAAGATGTGGATAGCAGCTATCAATGGTCTAAGAGGACTGGGTAGTCAAGGCTGTTGAAAGTGGAAACTGGCCTCTAAGAAATTTTATTTTCTAGTTCTTTTAACTCCGAACATCTGAAAACCAGCAGGAATGAGGAAGAAACATTCCACAATGAGGAGATTCAGAGTCACTGGGTAAACACATTCTTCCAAAATTGCACGGAGGCACCCTGGGCCCCATCAGGAGATTCACAAGGGTTTGGGAAGGCTGTTTTATGTCCTTGACAAGAACACAGTAATACCTATCAGACGCTGTGTGAACCACTAGCCTGAGCTAGTTCCCATTTTCAGTGTAATAGATTGTATTGTCTTCCTTGACATGATATCACATCTTTGAAAAGCTGGGTTTGGGTGACCACTGTGGCAAAGAGCGAAGTACCCTCTGAAAATAATGTTGGACCAGTAGGAGAGAGGGGCAAGGTATGCTCAAATTCCATGATCTGAGCTGTTTTGGTATGTCCAACAGACAAACACATCCTGTTAGTAGGTAACTATGGTTATAAAGAATAAAATAAAATGATTGTTTTTTTATTAGAGTATATTATTATTTTTCAAATTCCTTCTCAGTTGGTAGAACATAAGTACTTATTAAGTTGTCTGCCCCTACTAATTAATAAATAGAACAGTTAGGTATTTCTTTTGGCTTGAGAGTATGGCTAAAAATTACTAAGATATCTTGGCTCTGTAAAACGAGAAAGGGTAGGAATCTCTGTGTTAAACAATTTCTGTATTCTAAGCCATTCTCAGACCTACATAAAATGAATGTGGCATCATTTTTTATTAACAGTTTAATACAGAGCTCCCCTCGAAAAGTTGAGACGTTTATGAAATTGATAGGAGAGAGCAATCTATTCTATTCGGTTTCTACTGACTTATGTGTTGATAATTTCTGCTATCCCTTGAAGGTACATTTTTTTTTAAGATCTCAAAATGAGGATACTGTATTGCACACTGGAGGTCATTCTAAAGAATCATGATGCTGTTCTCACCTTCACACTCATCCCCAGCCTGCAAAGTGGTCCACTTTTGCATCCCGCTGTAGGCCTCCTAGGAGCCGTTTCCAACTGCTGGGAAACACTCATGGGTAAATCACACACTATGCATTATTTGATGCCTTTCTCTCCTTCCTTTCATTAAGAGCCAAGATTTTCCTTAGAAAACAATGGTTCACAAATTCTAAGAGTGGAAATACAGCATGTTTTGTATATTTCTATGCATTGTTTAGGTATTTTTATATGAAAAATGAATTCCATTTCTTTGGCTCTTCTATAATGCATTTGACTAAAAATGAAAAAGCTAACTTAATATTTTTTCAAAACCTTTTAGTGACTGATGCATGGACATTGAAATGGTAATATATCTCTTCACTGATTGATAAGTAGATAACCAAGACCAATTTTATGTACAGATATTTAGGAACTAATTTTTACTTCATTTTGTAGATAGAGCAGCAATGCTTTCTTCAACTTCCTACAGCAATATTTATATGTATATATTTTAAAGTGGTATGTTTTTATAGCAATATTATAGTGTTACTTTGGAGTTTTAAACAAAAGGTTCCAGTCACTTCTAATTGACTTTGTATGCATATGTTTGAATATCATATTTTATATACATATACGTGTGTAAATTCACCCAGATAAGCAAAATAACTATGCAAATTCTCATTCCATATCGAGCTGAGCTTACTTCTTTTAATGAGAGCATGTTTTCGAGAATTACATTCATGCTGCTGGAACAGTAATTTGGCTCAAGTATCACAGGGACCTAAGCAAATGTACAAATTTCCTTTTGCCTACTTTGCTATTAGAGATTGCATTCTATGACAAGGAAGATTAATTATTGAATGCATTGTAATGAATACAGCATATTTCGTATAATCACATATTATACCTGTCATTAACAGCATTATAATATAAAGGCAAATCAGCGCTCCACAAAATGAAGGATCCTGGGAAGTTAGCCTGAGCATACATCTGTGGGAAGATGCCTGAGAACAATCAGCAAATGTAATTTTCTGCTGTGGTCATTCTGCTGGAGTGACTTTACACCATGACTTCTCCTGTTCACCTGTTCCTCTCTATTATTCTTTTTGCTTTCTTCAATCCCTTTGCCTACTAGTATTTCTGCTTTCATTTCCAGTGTCTACCTGCCACATTTCCAATTGTCCCAGTGCCTTTACTTGGTCTGTTTTTAGGGCTATCATTTCTCTTGATTTCTAAGCCTTCCTTATATATTTTATTATGTCCAATATCCTCATCTTGCCTGTGGCTCTCCACATTTATAACTGCATTTTCGGGGCCAGCTGATGTCAAGTGCTGTAGGTTTTTGCTAAGGGACAGCCACAGACTCATGGACAAAGACAAGTGACTATGTGTCTACACTTGATCTAGGGATTACGTATATTGGTTCCCACCAATGATTGTTAACCCTCCCTTAGGGCATTTTGCTAATAATAAGCAACAGCATAAAGGCAGGCAGCTTGGTGTGAGAAAAGGTCTTGAACTACCTTTTCTCCTTTGCATTGGAGTTAATTGGCTGAAACAACTTTCCAGTGATCACTCGTGGACAGGAAATAGCATTTCTTAGAACATAGGTTTCAGAATTTCAGTGGGAAAGTTATTTTACAGAATTACTTGATAGAGAATATAACAATTAGAGGGAGGAAAGCTGAAAATATGTTAAAATATTTCTACTATGGAAAAAAATTTATATGTACCTAGCATGTGTCCCAAACACTATTACAATTAATTGTATATAATACAGAGTTCAGAGACCTCAATGTTGTTAAAGGTAGTTGGGGACACTGTTTTCATTCATAAAATATAATGCTTATGACTTTATGTGTATCATGTCTAGATTAATGAAGCTGATCTCACATGAAGCTTTGGTACTCTATCTGTTAACATTGTTAACATAAAGTGTTTATAGAAAGGGGAATTTTAAATATTTTCCACTAGAGCAATTTGCCTATGAATTTAGCCTATTTTAAGTGAGAAATTTCAAATGTATGCATCAAATGACATGCTACTTTTTCCTGGGGCATGTAGGAGTTAATTTCAAGATATGGTAATGGAAAAAGGGAGTAAGAGAAGATAGCAAAACAGAAAATTCTACATTTGATAGCCATAGGACTGAAGTACAAAGACAAAGAAATTAAGTAATGAACTTAGACTAATCAGATCAGCAGAGTACCAAACTTAATGATTTAGGGCCAAGATGATTTTTAAAGAGGAAGTCTAAAGAGTTTAAAACTAACAGAGACAGCATACCTGTATTCATTTTGACCTTGGAGGGTTTGCTATTAAAGTCTTCAGTTTTCCTGTAGAAAAAAAATGATGCATTAATCTGTTCACTATGTGTGGGAACAAAATATCATGAAAGAGTGTTTTTGTCTTGTTTCTGGTGTACCTGTGAGTTAATATCACATTATCATTAGTCTTATTTTAAATCAGGGTTTAATAAGGGGGGCAAAATTTATAATTGTATTCAAGTTAAACTTCAGTCATTATTGGTTCATGATCATAAACATAAACATAGGTTTTTGTTTAATGGTGACCACTCACGGATGTCGAGGGGAATTTTGTTAAAAGTTAAATTTCTTTCACATTTATACTAACAGTTTTGTTTTCTAAGCCTGAAGGGGTCAATTGGTTGGTATGTGTCCTCTTTTGAAAGGTAGTCTGGCACTTTGAAGTCATTACCTTATATTATTCAATTTGTAACATTATTTAATTTATTTTATTTGAGATCATGATCTTACATTATTCAATATATTACTGAATCAATGTATTGAACATATTTTTTGAGCGAACAGTCAAGGAAGATGAGATTCACCTATTTTTTTTCTTAAGATGCAGGAAATAGTTACTACAAAATCCATTTCTGATTCGGGATTAGATACAGTGTTTTTTCCCAATGAAGTGTTTGATGTATAACAATTGAGATTAATTCATTAGAAATGGTTGGTGGAATGTGGCTTGATGTAGAAAAAAGTTTTAAGATATTGTGTATTATTTGATGATATCTGAGATGACTTAGTTCTTTCCCTGGCATATTGTCTTAGGTCATTTTTAGAGTTTCTTACTTATCCACACACTAAGACCAAAGGGGAGGGACATGCTGTCATAGGAAGAAGCAGTTCTTTAAGAATGAGAGCTCTGAAAGAGATGTTTCACCCCAACCACTCTGCCTTTGCTTCTGAATAGGACCTGTGCTTAAATGTACATGAACTTCTCTAGCCCCACACTTTCCTTTTCCATGTATATTAGCACTCTAACATCTGATAATTTAAAATATTTATACATTTATGGTTAAGTGGGGATAAGGTTGAAATGAAAAAATCTGTCATGATCTGCCCGAAAGACTTTTGATAAATATATTTCCCTTCAGTCTCTAGAAAGTGCACCCAAAGAGCTCCCTGACCTTCTTGTCTTTGCCAGAGTTCTTGCCCTCTCGTCCTTTCTATTTCTCCGGTCCTCGTGTGGTCAGCTTTATTCATTATCCATCATTTCCTTTCAATATGGCAATCCAAGATCACCTCTTATAGAAAGAAAGCCCGGTTTTGTTCATCACTACTGTGACGTTTTAATGATAAAGTGTGAACACCTGCTAAGTACAACGATACCTATCTTCTCTCCCAGGGTTGGCGAGCAATGGAGAAATATAATAGCATGGGTGGGGGGGAACCCACTTAAATGACAGGAGACATAATTATGAACCAAGAGGCAAAGGATTTCTTTTTAATGACAGATTAAATTCCTAACACCTTGGTGTTCAATCAACACTAAAGCAGTGAAGATAGAGAATGGATAAAATCACAGCAATGATAGTCACTCCAATTAATTTTTTAGAGCTATAAGCTGACAACATTACAGATGATAGCTTTGTTATGTAGTGTTTTGTGTCACCTCATTGCGTTGTGTCACATTCTTGCCTGGAGAGGCCGTCTCTTATACTGAGGTACTAAACGTTACTGTGAATTTTACAGTAAAATCTCACAGGCCAATTGACTTCCTTTTTCCTTTCTTCTTTCTTTCTTTTTTTCCTTCTTTCTTTCTTTCTAAGATTTTACTTATTTGTCAGAGAGAGAGAGTGCACAAGCACGGGGAACAGCAGGCAGAGGGAACCATCCAGGAGTCCCGAGGGCAACTGACTTTCAAAAAAGTGAATGAAGGAAAGTTTATTAGGATGAATTTTATCTCTGATTTTTCAGTGCATACAAATAAGGGGCACATGATCCCCCCGCCCCCCAAAACACAGAAAAATGTAGCAACTCATGGGGAAACTCTCCTTGGAAGCCTTAACATGGCCTGTATCGAAGAAGTGAAGTCAGGGAAGAAGGCCGTGGTCAGTCCAGGAGCCTTGAGAAAGCTCCATCAAACATATTTATTTTAATCTCTCGGTAGCAAAACTCTTAATATGTTAACCTTAAATGGATAAAATAAATAGAAAAGCAAAGCCTCAGGGGATGTCTGTGACCAAGTCTGAGGCAACTGCTAAAACAAGAAGGAATAAACAGTCTCAAGAAAATGAGGACTGGAAGAACATTTCCCAAATTTTACGTTATCACTCCGTTTCAGAACACGTTTTGCTTAAAACTGTCCTAAGTTTTAAAGCTAAATGACAAAGATCCCATTTGCCTTGGAATAATGCTGATTGTTAAAGAAAACATCGAACAGAAGGAAGGTCAACTCTCAGAATACAGAACCTGCTAATACAAAATCACACTTTTTAAACTAGGCTAGAGACCTAATTGTCAACATTTATTGTTTGAATTCAAATGCAGATATTTACAAAACATCTGCCACTCAAAAAGGAAAATAAAATTAACAAGAACAAAGAAAGGCGCCAGAGGTCCTTGGGCTTTTCATCTTTAAAGTGATGCATCCTGTTACTTATAAATGTAATTGGTGAGGTTTTTAAGCTTCTCATTGTTTTAGATGTCAGAACGTGAAATGACTAACTTCCTAATCAGGCAAGACATTTTCCAAGTTGTTAAAAGAAGGGCCAGGGTGATTAAGCTTTCCAGAAGAACCTAAAACCGAAAGTCTTGGATGAGTCACAAAAATGTGTGGTTCTATTTCCATTATTTGTACTAAGGCCATTAACACATCTACAACCGAGAACTCTCTTTAGACAATTTAAACTAAAGCGAATCTAATCTCTTGTGTTCTGTTCTGGAGAAATGTCTTGGGTTATAACTACAGAACAAACATAGATTGTTCAGGAAGGCACCAAATTCCTAGAGTGTTTGCATGCTACTAAGAGACAGTATTTCAAGTATTCTCCTCAATTGGATTGAACAAGGGCCAAGACAATGAAAACCGATGATAAAACGCAGACTACCTTGAACCTCCGTAAATAATCCACAGATCAAAGAACTCTCTGTGCACTGGTGTCAAAACGATTTTCAGCAGGTGGCGTGGAGCTGCATTTACTTAAGTTCAGTTCTTGCCAAGTCTTATGTAAAAAGCAACTTTATATATATACTAATTTGGATATAGCGATCAGTTTGTTTCGGTATAAGAGCAGCTTTCATTTCCCATATGCATGTGGCACTACATTGTGTTTGTTGTTCGTGCATGGGTAACAACGTGACTTCGTGTCTGTAGCCTTTTAATTCTGCTTGAACTTCTTTTGGTTATCTGACAACCATTTTTTTTTTCTTATGGATCAGAACACTCTTTATTTATCCCAGGCATATGACAATAGATTGGATAATTTAACTTTTGAATGAGGGTCCTAAGAAGATGTTTGATTGTCCATGCACAGACACCAACATGATTTTGTGCTCATAATCTTAAAATTCTGCTCGAGTTCTTTTGTGTATCAGGCATCCCATTCTGAAGAGAGGCAGAGGCAGAATCCTTACCTCAAGTTTGGCCAAGAATTCTGTGTAAGTCGTTTTATTTTTGTAGACTCTAATTCAAGCACCAAGACCATCTATAAAACTATAGGATGAAGTTTTAGCTCAGCCAATGTGAGAAGTTGCCCAAAAGATTTTCCATAAAATAATTTTAATCCAGTAATTGCTAGGGTTATTTTGAAATTGATCTATTCACAGTTCATATATTGTTTAGAAGAAAGGAAACACAGTCTAAGTGGTAGGAAAACATTTGAAGGATGTTAGATTTTTAAGAGACATGGTTTAGACACAAGAATAAAAATGATGCCTGTTGAGGTTATGCACAGGATCTTAACCTGAATTTACTTTGGAATGGATCATGTGAACCATTCTTTCTGGAATAACTACTGAGTGGTCAATGTGTGTGTCTCTGTCTCTGTCTTGTTCTCCCTAACGGTGGTAGGATTAGAGGTATTCTTAAGTGCCAAATTATTTTACTGTTCAGTTACAATCAAATGACTTAATTTAGGTCGATTACATTTATCTTTTCTGTCAATATGCTGTTTTACAATTTTCACAGGAAATACCCCAAGTAGGTGATTTTGTCCTTTATAGTCCCTGAATTTAGAAACATACAAATCTACCTCACCCACTTTTCTGAATGGTTTCTCTGAATTGATGACAACTGGTTTATGACACCGGTTCAGAGACTCCTCGGATGCTTCCGAGTGGGTCGTCCATGTCCTCGTAGTTCATGGTGAGGACATGGCTGTCCATGCTCAGCCTTCACGTAAGAACTCAAAATTCCTCCCAACATTCCTGAGCTAACGGTGCCTGAAGCTGGGTCCTTATTATTCAGGAGCCAAATTATCTACCACATTTATACATGAATGCTGGCATCAGAATACATTCAGTATCATTTCTAGGAATAAAGATAAATCATGACCGTGAACAGTGAAGAACAAAGAACATGAGGCCATTGATTATTTTTATAAGAATATACCGATTCTTTAACCGAATTTAATCAAAACATTCTTTTATACCAATTTTCCTGATACCTGAAAGAATTTCCTGAAGAGCAAAGCATGTTTAATATGGAAATTAGCAATTTTCCCTTTGAGACTTTACAAAGCAAGCTAGTCATATACTTAACAGATTTTTCCTAAAGAACATACCGGTTAGGGTGCCTGGGTGGCTCAGTGGACTGAGCATCTGCCTTCGGCTCAGGTCATGATCTCAAGGTCTTGGGACTCAGGTTATGATCTCAGGATCCTGGGATCCAGCCTTGTTTGGGTTCCCTGCTCAGGGGGAATCTGCTTCTTCCTCCCCCTGCTCTTACACTCCTCTTCTCAATCTCACTTTCTCCCTCTCTCCCTCTCAAATAAATAATTGAAATCTTTAAAAAAAAAATGATCATACTGGATAGAAAAACTCAATCACCTGGTAAATAATTTTCTTTCTGAAGCTATTTCAAA